ACCTCATGGCCATCCTGTGGGGCCGGGAGTGGGGTGGGAAAGCTACTGGAAGTCCGGGTAATAGGAGGGAGGGAGCACCAGGAAGAGCAGAGGAAGGTGGAGGGGAAGGGGAGGGTCCCACAAGAGACAGGACTGGAGAAGGGGGCCCCTCTCTAGCTCTCACCCTCTGCATAGTAAAATGCTGCTGGTCACTCTCAGGTGGAAGGCTGTCACCCACAAACTGTAGCTCCAGGGCCACGTGAGGGAGAAGCACCAAGAGCTCCTTAGGGACAGAGAGAAGGTCAGCCCAGGGTCCCACCCTATGACCACATCCGTCTTTTCAATGCGCCTTCTCTGAGTGGGGACGTTACCCAAAACACCATGACAAGATCAAATTCCTTCCCGGCCTCAACCACGTGGATCTTCAGCGACTGCTTGTTCTGAATGTTGAGCTCAGGAACTGGTGAGAAGTTCACTTATTAAAGATATGGGGGGGGGAGACCCTTGCTGCCAGCCCCACCCCCAGCCTCCCGTCCTGTCTGCGCTCCTTACAGGACTGGGGTACCAGGTGGGTGATGACATAGTACACAGTCAGTGGGTAGGTGAGAAGCACAGCCATGGGGGAGTCCAGGCTAAGGCCCCGCCACGTGTAGTAATCCTGCCATGAACCTGGGGAGAGAGTCTTAATGGGGGGCCTGACCCCAGACCTGGACTTCAATCTTTAATGAGCCCTCCCCGCTCAGGCACCAGGTTTCTGTTCATCACCCCCTGCAGGATCTCTGTCCCAACTCCTACAGGGCCCCTCCAGCTCACCGAAGAGGCTCTTGGGTGGGTCTAGAGGCACCGGAGGCATCAGGGCAGGTCCGTCTCCCTGCAGCAGCTGGTAAGGATCACCTGAGCGGACAAGAAGCAGTGCCTAAGAGCTGTAAACCCCTACCTGCCTCATCTCCCCACTCCTCCCAGAAGAGCTGTACACCCTGAAGGCCTGAAGCTGTAGCAGGATTGGAGTTAGCCTAGGGACAGGGCTACTGGATGAATCAGACAGAAATGACTCCTTTGAGGTCTGTGGAAACGTTTAAAATAATCCTACAGGGGCTTAATCCTAATAGGGTCAGTACAGGGGCGGTACTAACCCCATTAGGACTACATGTATAGTCCTAATGTGTATATGGAGGGGTTAAATGGGACCTGGTCCACTCCCAGCCCTCCCCACAACCTTCCCTCTAGTCCATTCCTGGTCAAAGGCTCCACATACCATTGAGCAGGCGGCTAAGGGAGGATGTGCTGCCCCAAGGGCTCCTGGGGGTGCCAGGCCCTGGAATCAGCATGCTGAGCTGGGTCCAATAGCCACGAGTGAGGCCTCGCGAGGCCAGGAAAGCCTCCTTGTTGAAGGTCTCGCTGGTCACCTCTGCAGGAGAAGAGGTGAGGATTGAGGACTTGGTGGCTCAGCTCCAGGACTTTGGCTGTCCTCTGCTGTCACTAAGGACCCTAATTTTTGAGCCTGGTTTTACCTAGGGAGGAAATTTTCCTTTCTGAGTGTCTACCATGGTCTAGGCACCGAGAGTTTACACGATCCTTGAAATAATTAAATGTGATTTTTGTATTTGCTATTATTCCTTTTTTATAGATGAGGAAACTTGAAGGGATTTTTTTGTTGTTGTTGCTATTTTAAGACAGGATCTCATTGCAGCACAGGCTGGCTTTAAACTTACTATGTAGCAGAGGATGGCTTTGAACCCCTGGTCCTCCTGTCTCTACTTTCCAAATGCTGTGATTACAGGTATGCCCTATCAGAGGCAGCTCTTGTTTTGTCTTGTTTTTGAGACAAGGTGTCACATAGCCCAGGGTAGCCTGGAACATGAGATCCTCCTCTCTCAGCCTCCCAAGTGCTGGGAACGTGCTACCATGCCTGACTTACGTGAACTGTTTGAGGTCACATGACTAGACGGTGGTAGAGATGAACAGCAAGCATTTGAACCAATGCCTTAGCTGCCCTGGTCTCTCCCTGGATCAGTCATTCTGCCTCAGCTGCTCTGGTCCCTAACGCCCAATGCACAGCACCAGCTCTTCTTCCAAGGATGCAGACTTCAGCCAAATACTCATTCTTCAGGCCCTGGGCCCAGTTCCAAAGACCTGGTCCCAGGATCCCCTCCCTGCCACTTTGACCTCCTTATGATACCTGCAGTATAGGTGAAAGGCAGACTTGCCAGTTCCCCTGTTCGCTCCATAAAACCGGCAAGTCTTGGGCACCAAAATCTGTGGCTCACATCATCTGGGCATCGGCGCCAATCAGCCTGAAGACAAGCCTCTCCACAGTATAACACAGCACTGCACTGGGGGCTGGGGAGACAGGGGTAATTGGCACCCCTCAGTCTTCATGGGTCCTGTGGGCTATAATCTGTTCCATATGCCACTCAGCCTGTTTGTATTGCATCCTGTAGCTAATAGCTCATAACTTGTTTTTCCTATCCCTTCCTACCTTCCTGGCCCCCCTTCTGCCTGTCTGCTTGGGACCCCCACTGGCCCGGCTTGCCTTTCTACGTAGTTGTCTAACTGCTGGAGTCTTCCGTTGACTCCAGCCTTGGGGATGCTCACCAGGGTGTCAACTTTACTTCGAAGCTGTGCTTGTGACAAACATGGCAAGTTCGAGCCCGAAGGGAGGCAAAAGTAAAGCCTGGCCGAGGACCCCATGTCCTCATTGGGGTCTTTGCTAACTTCACGCCCAGCCTCGGGACAAGGCTCTCCAGGTCTCTGCATGGGGATAGAGGTGGCATCAGGCTAAAAGGGCTCAGGGGTTTCCACACCTTTCCACCCTGATCCCAGATATTTGTACCGATGCAGGTGGGCGTCTCCCACAGTGAGCTGTCGGGGCTTTCGGGGGTCCCCAGAGCCCATAGGGCAGGCCATGCTGTGGCAAAGGAGAGCATAGGCCCGAGGAGCCAGATTCTCAGCCCCTGGGCTCTGGCCCACACGCCCGTGGGTTCCATCCATTAGCAGATCAATGCCCAAGATGGTGCCATGCTCATCGGTCACCAGCAAAAGACAAGAGAGGTGCAGGGGTGCAGCCTCTGCAGAAAGAGGGAATATTTGGGCGAGAGAGAAGGGGCAGATAGTCACAGTCAGATATACCAAGTTTAGATGTCTTGAGGGGACAGACAACTTCAATGAGTAGAAGGGACTAGATAAGAGAGGCAGTCCCCATGTAAAGGGGCAACCGCTATACAGAGCCAGAATGTAAGAAACATGGGCAACTTCTCAAAATCTGGATTTCTCTTTTTTAGATTTATTTTCATTTTATGTATATGGGTATTTTCTCCACATGCATGCAGTGCCTGCAGAAGGCAGAAGAGTGTGTTGGATGCCCTTGGAAATGGAGTTACAGAAGGTAACTACCACCATGTGGGTGCTGGGGATTGAACTTGGACCCTCTGGAAGAGCAGTCAATGCTCTTAACCTCTAAACCACCTCTCCAGGCCTAGAACCTCGATTTTTCTTAAGATGCAAGGTTTCTGGATTTTCATTCTTTACAGTGCTTAGATGTTGGTTCAAATTAAAACAAACAAAACAAAAACAAAAAACACATTGTGGCAGATGAACTTTGGGCAACAGATTTGCATGAAGATTAGCAGCCTGTGACTCCTACTTGGTTGAGAGACATTGGGGGAGTTCAGAAAGGTGTCTGGAGAAGGGACAAGGCAGGGCCACCCTGGATTCTCACCACTCTTCCGTCCTTTCCTCTTTTCAGAAGCCCTCTCATCCTCTCCTCTGTCCTCCCGGCAGCCATCATCACAGCTTGCCTCTTGCTGGGTCACCTCTGACTCGGCTGGTGGCTTTGCTTCTTGGGGGGATTCCCTGCTGGAAGGGGCTGGCTCCCCACCCTCCTGTGCTTCTGCCTTCTCTGTGCCTGAGCTCCCTTTTCCATCCTCTTCATCTTCTTCCTCCTCCCCTTCTTCCCCATCCTCCAGGCTGACAAAACTGACATAAGGGCTCAGGTCTCTCAGGCGGAGCGGAGGCTCATCTCCCAGAAGCCGGGAAGCCCCCAGGCCCGGCCCGGGACCTGGCTCTGCACCTTGCCCCAGGCTGATGCCCACACTACGGTTTGGTAAGACGTGGAGCACCCAGAGGGCAGGGTCCTGGGGCAGCCTCCTTATCTGAGCCTCCAGTTGACGCCATCGGCCCTCAAGGCTGGTCCCCATGGTCCCTTTCTCTGCCACGAACTTGCGGAACCAGCCAAAGAGAAGAGCAGCGAAATCAAGGAACTCATCCCGGTATCCAGACACAAACTCCATGTCTTCAGATGCACAGGGCCTGGACCCAGACTGAGAAGAAAGGGCTGTGTGGTAGCTGTCAGGAGCAGGGTAATGATGAGGGTCCGTGCTGGGTCACCAAAGGGAGAAGGGTGTGGGCTTGAGGTAAAATTTATGGAGAAGCATTAGGAGCTGAGAATAGGGTTTGCAAGGATAAGGACGGATGGAGGGTTAGATTGGAAAGTGGATATTTAGGGTTAAAGGTGAGAACCCAGGGATGAAATCATAGTTGGGGCACAAAACTCAATGACTCAAATCCTAAAGTGAGATTTGAATTCAAAGACGGAGAGGTAAGGTTAATCCTACGGGAAAAGCCTTACTGAGAAGGGGTAAATGTGGAGTCTGTTGGTCTATGGGAAATAGAAGTAAGAATTAAGAACTGAGGCATCTCTTGGGCGAGGATCAGTTTGATGTGAGCCCCCGTAAACCTAACCCCTTTCCGGCGGCTCCTCTCCTCCGGTACCTGCAGCCGCCACCACTTTTTGAAGGTAAATACCTCGTGCTGGTGGACCGTCGTGACGTCAGGGCTGCCCGAGTCCACTACTCATAACTCGAATGGCACCCAGCCAGTGCATGCGCACTCCCACAGGCCTGGTGACTTGCTGGACTGCTTCACCTTGGCCATGTGACTGGATCCCACTGTGACCCAGCGGACCAGGGAAGTGAAAGCATCTTGGAACCAGAGGGAGATCTAGCAGGTCATCACTTTACAAACCACCAGACAGACGGGCGACAGCCCGAGAGGGCTGACATCCCGAACCCCAACCGAGTCATTCTTCCGGAGCCACCGCTTGCCGCCTCAGGTTCCTCTGGCTCCATAGCCTGAGCTTTCTTTCGGTTTTGACAGTCTTGGCTGTCCCCACGACTGGCCTGGCCCTGAGTCTGGAAACGGCTGAAGGAGCTCCGCCTTCGGGGGTTCCTCGACGTGGGAGCTGGGTGCTGCGCAGGCTCCCGGTACCGACCGGGCGATCGGTTCGGGGCGGCGCGCGGGGAGCAGCGGCACCTCTACCGCGCGCCCTCCTCCCGCCTTAGCTTGGCACCGACGGCAGCACCTCCGCAGAACCTCGGGCAGCCGGGAAATCAGCTGGATGTCGGCTAAGTGGCCTGGCCGCAACGAGCTCCGCTAAGCCCGGAGATGAGGCAGGGCTTCGGACTCCTGCCCATAGCGCCCTTTCTCTACTTGCTGGCTCTGCTGACCCCGCCAGGTTAGTCAGGGAGCGGGACTGGGACCCGAACGGAAACGGTGGAGGGGCACAAGAATGGAGGGATTAAGTACTCAGCCCAGAGCTGCCAAAGGCAGCAGCCGGGAATAGGGGAAGGCTGTCTGGGGTTGGACTGGACTGGGGACATCTGGACCCAGGTGGCATTACACTGCGGTGGGAGGTAGATCTGACGGGTAGGGAAAGCTGAGTGAGACAGCTGAGTTGGAAGCCAAATCAGGACTAGAGTTGATCCCTCGTTCCCCTTTAGGTGATGGTAACCAGGGGAGTGTCACTGGAAGTTGTTACTGTATAAAAAATATTCCTCTTGGCACACCGGTACCGACTACTAGCTTGAATTATATCCGACCACGCCTGCAAACATACGATCACTGTACAATGCGCATCAGGTACCGTCTTGTCTGTCAGTGTGTCGTCCCCTGTCCCTGCAACCCACCACCGGGAATTATAGGACCATCAACCTGAAGACCAGGTCCGAATGGGAAAGCCTAGCTCCTTCCCAGTTTCACTTATCTGGGGATTTCCAGCCCTGGTGGAACTCACCTTGGGGGTGACTTCACACCTCTGGAATGAGGAAAAGTAAGGAGGGGAAGGAGTGGCCATAGGAGACTAAATTGATACTCTTGCAGGTTCTGGTTAACGACGTCCATCACTGTGTGTGGGGACAGCCGAGAACAGTGGGTCCTTGATTTGGTAAAATGCCTTGACAGCAAAGGTGAGAGCCTCTTGGGTCCTCCGGTGGGCCACCATCCGACAATTCCCTTTGCCTCTGCCACACGGCACTTTCCTCTTTGGAACCTCTTAGCGCTGGCTGAAGTTCTTTACTTTCACTTACGAATGTCTTCTCACCTTTACCCTCATCTTCCTCCCTCCGTCAATTTGTTCTGCCACATCTGCCATTACTTAATACTTTTTTATGTCATTTATTTTTATTTCATGTGCATTCACGTTTTAGGTACATGTATGTCTGGGTGAAGGTGTTGAATCCGCTAAAACTGGAGTTACAGGCAGTTATGAGCAGCCATGTGGGTGCTGGGAATTGAACCATCTCTCTAGCCCTACTTAGTATTTTCTTGAAGTCACTGTTATAAAGTGTACTCGAGATTGGTCAAGCTAAATAAGTGCTCTACCACTGAGCTATCGTCCTGCTTTTTAAGCTGACCAAGATGGTCTTGAACTTGTTATCCTCCTGTCTCAACCTCTCTTGTAGCTAGGATTACAGGTCTCTACAATAGGTGTGGCTTTTACTATTGTATTTTAATTGAAATCACTTGGAGGTACTATTTTAATTTTCTAACACTTAATGATGAAAATAAATGTTAAATTGAAAGAATTTATCCAGGTGTGATAGTGCCCATATGTAACCCCAACATTCTGGAAGGCAGAAGCCGGTGGATCTTTGTGAATCTGAGGCCAGCCTGGTCTACATGATAATTTCAGGATAGCCAAGGCTATATATAGAGACCCTGTCTTAAAAACAAAACAAAAAGTGTAATTACACAGTGAACAACCTCTATGAACATCACCTGGATTCTTCGATATTTGAGGTAGTTTTAAAATATTTGTTTATACAATAAATATGTAGTCAGTTATATTTATAATATTAGTTCTACAGCATTTTACTGTATTCACATTATTGCAAACCGGTTCTGTTATCTATCCATCATCAATTTAATTTCCCTGCTTTTTTTCCGTTTGGCCTTGAAGTGGTGCTCACAAGTGCTGGGGTTAAAGGCATGTACCACCACGCTCTGTTTCAACTCACCTTATTTTAAAAATGTTTTGAACATAAATTGCAGATATTGTATTTAATCCCCAAACAGTTTCACCATATATTTTACTGAGTTCAATTCTGGGGGGGTTGTTTTGTTTCTGTTTTTTCAAGACATGGTTTCTCTGTGTAGCCTTGGCTGTCCTGGAACTCACTCTGTAGAGCAGGCTGGCCTTGAATTCATAGACGTCTGCCTACCTCTGCTTCCTGAGTCCTGGGATTAAAGACCCAACTCTGATGTCAATATTTTATTGTTCTTTTTCTTTCAAGGTAAAAACAAAACAAAACAAACAAAAAAACCTTCAATCAATTAAATGAATAGATCATAAGCATGCATAAGTCATTTCCAAACAAATTACTTAACAGCTTGTATGTTTCGTTCAGGAGTGGTAGCAGACACCTTTAAGCCCAGCATTTGGAAGGCAGAGGCAGGTGGATCTCTGTGAGTTCAAAGCCAGCCTGGGCTACAGAGTGAATTCCAGGACAGTCAGGGATACACAGAGAAACCCTGTCTTCAAAAACCAACCAACCAACCAACCAACCAAACAAACAAAGGAAGATACAACTCTTAAAATAAGAAATGTTCTTCACTAGTCTACCTGTGTCAATGGTACCCACACTGCCTTTCAGGCTACCGAGACCTAAATTATTTTCTTCACCCCTCCCAGACACCCTGCGCCTTGTTACATCTAGAGTCCAATACAGTGTCACACACCTGCTTGCCCGGTGACTGCATCTCAGTTTGTGAACTTCCTTGTCCCTGGCTGTCCCTCTGCTACTGTCTTCCTCCCTGGCCTTCAGCTGCCCTGCCCCAAATCTCTTTTTGCACAGTACTGGGGAATGAATCCAGGACCTCACCTCACACATGCTAGGCAAGAACTCTGCCACTATGCTCTACACACAGCTCTTCAACTGTCCTCTGGATGCTCCTCATGCCCTGACACCCAGAGGGGATGTTAGCGGTTGAGAGACCCAACAAAGCGAACGAACCACTCTGGCTTTCCTCCGTCATTCTCTGTGTCAGCTGGCTACAGAGGGAGTCTCTGACTTCTGCCACCTGGAACTGAGGCCTAATACATACTTTCATGCTATAGGAGTTCTGCCTGGGACTCGGAGCCCAAAAAGAATCTGGCAAGGCCTTACTAGTCCCCGCCCTGGTCCCCTGGGGTGGGAGTGGGGACTGGAGATTTAATGCAGGGTCTTGAACACGCTACACCCCAAACCCCCTTGTTCATGACCACTAAGCAGAACCCTTTCTGTCCAATCAGACTTCTCCACAACTGTCCATTCTTACCCAGTCTGAGCACAATAGAGTAGGCTCTTGCGTTCCATCAGACCCTGACCCAACTTGTTCTGCTTTTCTGGTTAATCTGCTTTTTTTTTCCTTAGAGGTGGTGGTAGTGATGGTTGTGATGGTGGAGGTGGTGGTAGTTGTGGTGGTAATGGTGGAGGTGGTGGTGATGGTGGAGGTGGTGATGGTGGTGGTGGTGATGGTGATGGTGGTGATGGTGGAGGTGGTGATGGTGGAGGTGGTGGTGGTGGTGGTGGAGGTGGTGGTGGTGATGGTGGAGGTGGTGGTGGTAATGGTGGAGGTGGTGGTGGTGATGGTGGAGGTGGTGATGGTGGTGGTCACGGTGGTGGTAGTGTGTGTATGTGTACGATGACCTTGCCATGAACATAGGTGAGAAAGACTTCAGCTGTTCCAGCAGCCTGATCCTGTGTTTGTTTTCTCTCCAGAGTGTGGAAATAGCCATGGGAAGAGGCTGCACCACCAGCAGCATCTGCCTCACGCTAGCACCCGGATCCCCGTGGCCACCGAGGGGACACCTCCAGCCACAAGCTCCCCTCCACGGATGCAGAGTACCCAGCAGTCCACTTTCCCATCTGGAGCACTGTCTTTGAACAAACGGCTCACCCACCACAGTGAGACCACCGCTCTCACATCAGGCTATGAAAGCACTGCTCTCACATCAGGCTATGACCCAGAAGCTAGACCCGCGGCTGAGGCAAAGAAAAACCAGCAAGAGGACAAACAGCAAGAAGAAAAACCGGGAGCTTCAGCTGGCAAAGCAGCCTTGGTGCCAGTGCTGTCCCTCCTGGCCATTGTTTTCCTCCTCACGGCAGCCATGGCCTATATGCTGTGCAGCAGGAGGAGAGACAGGCAGCAGACAGGTAAACGAGACTCCTAACCCTCCCCTCCAGGGCCCGAGAGACGTCCTGGTAAGGGTAACAGAGGCAGACAAACAGTAAGGCAGTCAGCACCATGGGCCGTGAGGCTCTTAGGGTTAACTAATGTCTGGGAGTCTTGAGTGCCCGCTTCAGCTCACGTCTGCCTCAGTTCTCCTTCATCTTCCAGCTCATCCACCACTTTCTTTCTCCTCTCTAGATCTGCAGCTCAATTACACACGCGTGAACTCTGGTGTCTGAAGCAGGATAGGGGCTCTTGAGAGAAGACGCGGGAGAGAGATGGCAGGCTGGGCTCCGTCAGTGAACTGGATCTTCGCTCATTCTTTCACGTCATAAGCCAGAGCAGCTGAGCTGCTGATTCTCTGCCTCTCCCTCCTAGGCTCTGGGCTTGCAGACATACACCACATCTGCTCTAATTTACTGCTGTACATAACGCATTTAGAACTTTGTTTTGCTTAGGCAGGATCTTACTTAGTCCAAGTCGGCCTCAAATTCCCTATGTGTCTGAGGATGACTATTGAGTCTCCTGCCTCCACTTCCATAGTGCTGGATTGCATACTTGCTAAACTTTTTTTTTTTTTTTGAGACAGTATTTCACTATTTTGCCCTGGCTGTCCTAGAACTCAGAAGGATCTGCCTGCCTCTGCAGTGTTGGGATTAAAGAACTTCACCTGGCCCTTTGGAAATGTTTGTTTTTCTGGTATTTTTTCAAGACAAGATTTTCTCTGTGTAACAGCCCTAGTTGTCCTGGAACTAGCTCTTGTAGACCAGGCCTTGAACTCACAGAGATCTGCTTGCTTCTGCCTCCAGACTGCTAGGATTAAAGGCGTGCCTAACCACCGCCTGGCTTTGGTTTGGTTTTTTTGAGACAGGATTTCTCTGTGTAACAGCTCTGGCTGTCCTGAACTCACTCTATAGACCAGGCTTGGTCTCAAACTCACAGGGATCCACCTGCCTCTGCCTCTCGAGTGCTGGGAATAAGGTGTGTATCACTCTTAATGATTAATAACATATGAGCAGTCCCACTGGCCCTGGTCTTCCTCCCCCACCCCCCCACCCCCGCTGCTAATAAAATGTAATACTCTAAACTATGTGGTCTAGAGGTGTGGCCCTTGGTAGAGTGCCTGTCTAGCATGCGTAAAGTTCAAGGTTCAACCCTCCCACTACCAATAAATTAATTTTTTTAAAATGTCTGTTTTTTACATTGTGTAACAATAAACTAGAAAATCTATGGTTTTAACTATAATACAAAAAAATGTATTAGAATCAGTGGCTGAGGGCTGGAGGGAGGACTTAGCAGTTAAGAGCGATTGTTCTTGCAGAGGACTCATGTGGTGCTCACCACCATGTGGAACTCCTGGGACCTCCACAGGAACATGTTACACACACACACACACACACACACACACACACACACACGGCAAACCATTACACATAAATCTAAACAACTCTTTTTATTTAGAAGTATTGACTTCTGCGGACGCTGGTGTCAGTCTCCGCCCCCTGAGAAGTGCTGATGGTGCCCCCAGGCCACAGGCTCCCCTCCACACAGCATCAGCTCTTCTCACCGAAAGTCCACACCGAAAGTCCAGGCTGTCTCGCTCTCCCTCATCAGCAGTCACCGTGCTGATCCCGTGCTGATTCTGGGCGGGCTGGGCTCACTTCCTCCATCTCTCGAATCACTCATATTTACCCCAGAGAGAGAGCCTGGCCTCACAGAAAAGTTACAGCTTTTATTATTAGAACAGTTCCTGTTTTGTTTCTTCCAACGAGGAATATAACTTATCTTTGTTTTTGTTTTACAAGACAGGGTTTCTCTGCAGCTTTGGAGTCTGTCCTGGAACTTGCTCCATAAACCTTGAACTCACAGAGATCCACCTATCTCTGCCTCCCACGTGCTGGAATTAAAGCTGTGCACCACCACCAGGCTCCACAATTTCTCTTTTTGAGAAAGGGTCTTGCTATGCACTTAGCCCGGATTGGTCTCAAACTGCAGCACTACCTCCCCTTTCCAAGTGCTGGGATTACAGGTGTGAGCCACCATGCCTGCGTATGAGACTTGCTTTGTAGACTAGGCTGGCCTTGAACTCACAGAGATCTGCCTGCCTCCGTATCCAGAATGCAGGGATTAAAGCCATGTGCCACCACCACCTGCTGAGAATACTTTTACTGGGGAGCTGGAGCGAGGGCTCAGTGGTTAGGAGTGCTGACTGCTCTTCTAGAGGGTCCAGGTTCAATTCCCAGTACCCACATTGGCTAACTACCATCTCCATTTCCAAGGGGAGCCAACGCCCTCTTCTGGCTTCCACAGGTACTGCATATACATGATGTACAGACATGAGAAAAAATAATCATACTTGTAAATCTTAAAAAAATATTTTTATTAGGCCAAGTCTTCTGGAACTCAAGGGCAGGGTGTGCATGAGGAAGTAGGCTGGGCAGTTGTCTGATCCCTGTCTGAGCTTGCATAATGGAATGCAGGGCCATCTTGCTAGAGGAGCCAGGACAGGTCTGTGGGCAGACTTGGGCTTTAGAGTCTCCAGTTCTACTTTCTGCCCCATGGTCCTCGTCTGCCCTGACCAGTAGGGCATGTATGTACCGCTCTGCTCCCATCCTACCGGTCTCTGGGCTCTGTTCCAAAGTGCAGGTCGCACCGCGTCATCCTGATTTAGCTCTCCAGCATCTGCTCACAGGTTCGGGCCACATCGCTGATCTTAAGACGGGCATAGTCCACTCGTTTCAGCGCCATTTGGCAATCCTTCCTGGAGGAGTAGCTGGAGCCCTCGTGGGGCTGCCCTGTGGCCACCTACAGGACAGTTACACGGATCAGGGGAGCCCTGCCTCTCTTGACCACCCCACAAGCAGGCTTCAGGTGTCTGAGCCTATTTCTTTCCTGAGTTTGATCTACTCTAGCGTGTGGTAGCTCAGTGATCTAAGGCAAATGACAGAACCTCTGTGAACCTCATCTGTGAGATACAGACTACTGACGACAGTTAGCACTTCCCAGAGTTGGAGGATCAGACACTGCAGAGTGCCCAGCACACCGCAAAAGTTAGTAAATAGGGTAGCTAGAGTAAGGACTTTGGAAGCCGCCTAGTGCTTAGGAGTCCCTGTACTTGGTCCCCAAGCAGATGGGGCCTCACACATGACATCAGGCTAAGTTTCTGGGTACAAAGTTCAGTGGCTTCGGTTTTATTTTTTTGTTCAATACTGGGGCCTCCTGTATGGTAGGCAAGTGCTCTACCATGGAGCCCCGCCCTCTTTTATCTATTGGGTCTAAACTGCCCAGACAAGTTTTGAACTTGTGATCCTCAGACCTCAGCCTCTTGAGTAGCTGAGATGACAGGCCTAAACCACCTTGTCTGGCTAGGTACTGTTTATACACCATAAGCACTTTTTGTTTTGTTTTTCGAGACAGGGTTTCTCTATGTAACAATCCTAGCTGTTTTGGAACTCGCTCTATAGACCAGACTGGCCTCAAACTCACAGAGATCCGCCTGCTTCTGCCTCCCAAGTGCTAGGATCAAAGGCGTGCACCACCACCGCCCTGCTGGCACTTCTAATTTCTAGCTTTTAGAGAACTAAACCAGCCCTGAAATTAAAATGCCTAAGCCGGCATAAGCGGCAGTCTTTTTTTTTTAATGTTTTTTTTAACTTTTTTCATTTTACATACCAATCCCAGTTCCCACTCCCTACTTCCTCCCATTCCCTCCGTAAGAGACAGTCTTTTTCTTTCTTTCTTTTTTTTTTTTTTTTTTTTTTTTTTTTTGGTAAGAGGCAGTCGTATCCAGCATCCAGCTAAAACTCAGGGAATCCCTAAGGCTAGGGCAGAGATGGAGCGCAGGGGTCCCCGCCCAACACCTTCTAAACACACCCACCTGGGTTAGGTAGCGGATCTGAGCCGACAGCTCCGCCTCCACGTGCTGCACAGAAGCGGTGAAGGCTGCCGCCTGCCGGTCTAGAAGCCGCTCGTTCGTTTTCTCCTTGGACAGTTCCAGGATCGCCGTTCCTGCAGGGCGGGGAGAGGGCGGCGTTAGACAGAGCTGGAGACGTAGCCCCGCCCAGGACTAGCACTCGGGTCCCGCCCACACCGCGCGTCGAGTCCCGGCTGGCCTTCTGGTTCTTAGCTCCACTCCTCACTTCACGAACCTGCGTTCTGGAGGATGGCGCCGATTTCGCGCTCGATGTCCTCCAGGGCGCGCAGCCGCTCGTTCGCCAAGCTGTAGGTAGCCATGGTTCCTGTGGAAAGTCCCACAGGCCGTCTTTTCCGAGGTGTCCAACGAAGGCCCGGAAATGCCTGCTAGTGTGCGCCTGCGCAGAGACCACCGTAGCGAACACTACAATTCCCAAGATGCTCAGTGCGGCCTCACTCTTCCGGGTCCACCTGGTCTAGACTAGCAGGGCTCTGGTGCCAGGCCAGATCGCGGGTAGAAAGAGGTACTATTGACTTTTTGGTTTTCTGACAGGATCTCACTGTATACCTGGCTGACGTGGAACTCACAGAGATGAAGATACTCTAAAGAGACACTTGTGTCTTTTAATTCTATCAGACTATTCAAACAATGGACCCCAAAGAAATGGGCATTTTCCTAGGAATCTGATGCTGGGAGAAGGAAAGAACATCAGCCAGAGCGGGGGACTTGTCTTCCAAAAAGATTTCACACAGTTCTAACACCTTGCAGACCACTCTATGGAATTAGACAACCCAGACAGTGATGAGGCAGTGGTGGGTGTGAGCACCCATGACTGAGACTGCTTACAAATAGACATCCTTAGTCCTCTAAACGCTGAGGTTACTTCAGAACCCTGAAGGCTGACTTGAGGGGTCTCTTTGTTCCTCTTCCCCAGGTGGCCACGTTAAGTAAGTTTCCTTTCTCGGCTTTCCACTCTAAATTTGACTCTTTTAATTGGCTTATTGTGCCCAGACATGACTTAGACACAGTTTTGCATGCCCCCCCCCCTACACGTTGAATAACAATGCCTCTGCCTCCCTAATGCTTGGATTAAACGTGTGAGCCACCACTAAAACAGCCCTGTGACCAAAGCCGTTCAGATCTGTCAGATTTAATTGACACTGGTATTGCATTTTTAAGATTAAGCATTGGGCCTGTGCCAGGAGAGGATGGTGGAAATTCTAGTGTGTTCCTCCATACTGTGTAGTCATGGACTTTTTGCTGGCCAACCTCTCCCAAGGAAAGCTTGACTTGGAATGTAAGCTATTCTCCCTAAGGCTTCACCTGATCCGAGCCCAGCTGGTTCTCAGGTCTTGGCTCCTTCTTGCCTCCTTTCTGTCTCTGATTGCCAATTAGACTCTAGGCTCTAGGGAAAGAAAGGCAAACGAGATGTTCTCTCATTCCAGTGTTTTGTTAGCGCAGGTGCAAAGCTTTCTTTAAAAAATTATATTTATTTATTTATGAATATGGGTGTTTTGCCTGCATGTGTGTCTGTTCACCATGTGCATGCATTGTTCATGGAAATGAAAGAGAGCATAGAATTTTATACAACCAGAGTAATTGACAGGTCTGAACCACCATGTGGTGTAACAATGAAGGGGCCTGCTTGTTGGGGTTTTCTGTCCTGCCTGGTTCCCATAGCTGTTTAGCCCCAAAGAAAATCATACAGAGATCTCCATAAGTTATAAGCTGATTGACCCATTAGCTAAGGCTTCTTATTAGCTCTTATGGCGTATATTAACCCATTATTCTGATCTGTTTTTGCCATATGGCTCAGTACCTTTTTCAGTGGGGCAGGTCATATCCTGCTTCCTCCGTGGTCTGCGCAGGACTGGGAGGAATCAGCTTCCTCTTTCCCAGAATTCTCCTGTTCTCATTGCATCAGCTCTACTTTCTGTCTGGTTTTCCCGCCTATATTTTTTGCCTAGCCAATCAGCATTTATTTAAAACATGACTGACTGAATATAGACAATTCTCCCATACCAATGTGGGTGCTGGGAATCGAACCAGGGTCCCCTGAAAGATCAGTCAGTACCCTTAACCACTGAGCTTTCCCTTCAGTCCCAGGAAAAGGATTCCTGGAGGAAGTGTTTTTTTTTTAATATTTATTTATTTATTATGTGTACAATATTCTGTCTACATGTAAGCCTGCAGGCCAGAAGAGGGCACCAGACCTCATTACGGGTGGTTGTGAGCCACCATGTGGTTGCTGGGAATTGAACTCAGGACCTTTGTTAGAGCAGGCAATGCTCTTAACCTCTGAGCCATCTCTCCAGCCCCCAGGAAGTGGTTTTTGAAGTGAATTCTAAAGGGCTGTTGAGGTGGATGGGAGGTTGTAGTGGGAAAGGGGACAGTATCCTCCAAGAGATGGGACTGTGAAGGACCTTAGTACGGTTAGAGTCCAGTAAGGAGTTCTGTTTCTGTGAAGTGAGCGGAATGTTATTGGTGGTGATTAGGGGTAACATGAAGCTGAAATAGGGAGATCAGGAAAAGACTCATAAGCTAAGAGATTCATTCTGGGATGCTACAAAGATGGCTTGAAGGACTGGAGAAATGGCTCAACGGTTAAGAGCACTGACTGCTCTTCCAGAGGACCCAGGGTTCAATTCCCAGCACCCACATGGCAGCTCACAACTGTCTGAAAATCCAGTTCCAGGGGATCTGACACCTTCACACCAATGCACATAAAAAATAAAGATAAATAAATCATAAAAAAATTTTAAAAAAAGATGGCTTGAGCTACTAAGAGCACTGGCTGCTCTTGCAGAAGACCTGAACTCAGTTCCTAGCATCTACGTCAGGCGGTTCACAATTGCTTATATCTCCAGCTCCAGGAAATTGGATGTCCTCTTCTGACTTCCATGCAGGTACCTGCACACGTATGACACACACACATACCAAAGTAAAAAGGTGGAGGGTGAATAATGGAGGAGTGGGTATGAATATAATAAAAATACATTGTATGACAGTCTCAAAGAATTAATAAAAATATTGTTAAAAATGAAAGAAATTCTAATCTCTGTGAGTTCGAGGCCAGCCTGGTCTACCAAGCGAGTTCCAGGACAGCCAGAGCTATTATACAAAGAGACCCTGTCTTGAAAACTCCCCCCCCAAAAAAAAAGAAAGGAAAGAAAGAAAGAAAGAAAGAAAGAGAAAAGGAAAGAAAAGAAATTCTAAAGGTATTTGGAGCCTTTGAAGAAAGTGTGTCATGACCAGATTTATCTTTTTTTTTTAAGATTACTCTTGAGACTTACAGAGGTCAAGAATGAAAATATCGCTGGTTGTGGTGTGGTGGTGGCACATGTCTTTAATCCCAGCACGTGGAGGCAGAAGCGGGTGGATCTCAGTGAACTTGAGACCAGCCTGGTCTACATATACCATATGTATATATCTACATATACCAGGGCCGCATGGTGACTAGAGCTGGAAGTAAATAGTTCCATGGTAGTGCACTCGCCTGCTGTGCAGGGAGTCCTGAAAGCAACACCCTGAACAGCCTGAGAAGCAATGGTAGTTGTAACAGAAGCAGAAGCAGTTTGCAAAGGGTTAACTAGCAAATGAATGACAGCTCCGAACACACTAGGTAGTGTTCAATTCTGTCCTTTCCTAGAGCCTAATGAAATGACCAAGATTTTTTAAATTTAAATTACATTTATTTACTCTGTGTGTGTGTGTGTGTGTGTGTGTGTGTGTGTGTGTGTGTGTGAGAGAGAGAGAGAGAGAGAGAGAGAGAGAGAGAGAAAGCGCACAAGAATTCACAAACAGGTGTGCTTGCCGCGGTGCTCACGTGGTGAGCAGAGACTACTAGGAAAGAGTCAGTTCTCTCTTCCCGCCATGTGGGCTCTGGAACTTGGTGGCAAGGCCTTCAACAGTCACGATGTGTTAAGGGCGTTGGTAGAGTATTTGCCTAGCATGCACGAAGCCCTGGGCTTGACTTCCAGCACTTCATAAAACTGGGTATGTGTGGAGTGTGTGCCTGTAACCTTAGCACTGAGCCAGTAGAGGCAAGAGAATCAGAAGGTCGAGATCATCCCTGGCTTGCTTCACAGCAAGCTCAAAACCAGCCTGAGCTGAGACCCTGTCTTGAGGGAGATAAAGACTGAGGAGATGACTCAGTTGGACAAGTGCTTGCTATGCAAGCCTGTGAGGACCTGAGTTTGGATCTCCAGAACCCATGGAAAAGCCCCGTTCAGTTGTGCCTATCTGTAACCCTAGTGATTCAGGGATAGAGACAATCCCAAGGCCTTGCTTGCCAGTCAGTCTAACCAAAATGATGGCCTCCGTGTTCAACGAGAGACTTGAACTTCTGATCCTCTTGCCTCTGCCTACCAGGTGCTAGGGTCATAGACATGGTCAACAAATAGAGATATATCTACCTGCCTCTGCCTCCCAAGTGCTGGGATTAAAGGCATGCACCACCATGCCTGACCCTCTGTCATTTTTGCCCCTTCAATTGTTCCCAGGTGCCCACCAAGGTGAAAATCCTGTTTTCCATTTCTAACAAATAAGTCTCCAAGACCTTGAAAGAGAAGTTGGGGAACTCTTCATGCAAAAAAAGTAAATGAAAAGAGCCTCTGGGTGTGGTAGTCCATGCCTTTAATCCATCATTTAGGAGTTCATGGTTTACATAGCCGGTTCCAAGGCCAGCCAGGACTACATAGTGAGACCCCGTATCCTCTCAAGAAACAAAATAACAAAGGAACGGGAAAACCAGCTATATTGTCATGTGCTTCTGACCCTAGCACTGGGCAGGTAGAGGCAGGAAGATCAGGATTTCAAGGTCATCTTTGCTAAGTAGCTCATGACCAGCTTATGCTCAATGAGACTCTATCTGTAAAAGAAAAAAAAAACCTAAACTACAAAGTGAAGAAACACGTAGTGATGGTGCATTCCTGTAACCTTAACTCCAGGGGCCTCGGGTAGCAAATTCAAGGCTAACCTAAAGTACTAGTTCTCAGAAATCCAATGCTGGCACTGGAGCTTAGAAGCTTTGTTTGGGTCGCCGGGTTTTATCTCAGCACCAAAAAGAAAAATGACTGAAGAGGAAGGAATAGATATGGAAACATGGACAACGCTGGGGAACACACACACACACACACACACACACACACACACACACTAAACAAATAATAAAAAATAGCACTAGGACCTTGCTGTGTACCGTCCTATTTCTGCCTCGCAAGTACTGGAGGTAACAAAGTGCCACCGTACTTTGCTTCCCAGAGGTCCTTGTTGGAGATGGAAAACAGGGCTTTTGCTTGGTGGGTACCTGGGTACAGCTGAGGGCAAAAGCATGGCACTGAAAACAAGTGGATGTTTATGTACTGGGTTGTGGTTTCTGCACTTGACAACCAAGTTTATTGTTTCCAGGTTCAAGATTCCAGGATGCTCCTTGGGGAACTTGATACTCAGAGCTGCGATCCAATTAACACAGGTTGTAACAAAGTCCTTAGCCGAACCAGACCATGCTGAAATTCATTGTTTCAAGTCCTGACTGTGTACATGGAATAATCAGTCAACTTCTTTTCACCACAGGCTCTCTTGGAATTGGACATCCTCCTGCCTCAGCCTCTTGAGTGCTGGGATTACAAATTCACACTACCATTTCACTTTTGAATATGACCAGATAGAAAAGGATTTCTAGATATGAAAGCAATAAACACAGAGGAAGTACAAATCCTAGAGGTCTCAGGTAAGAGGTTTGTTTTGTTTTGTTTTGGCTTTGGTTTTTCGAGACAGGGTTTCTCTGTGGCTTTGGTGTCTGTCCTGGAACTTGCTCCATAGACTAGGCTGGCCTCAAACTCACAGAGATTCACTTGCCTTCCGAGTGCTAGGATTAAAGGTATGCACCAGCACTGCCTGGCCAAGTAATACATTTTATATGTATGATTGATCAGTTGGGACTGTGGCATATTTCTGTGGTGAGAACTAACTTGAAAGCCTGAGGTAGGAGGATCACTGGAGTCCAGTAGTTTGTGGGCAGCTTGAGCAATATAGTAAGAATGCCCCCTTTTATTTTATTTTATTTTATTTTATTTATTTTCTGAGACGGGGTCGTGGTATGTTGCCTATGTTCCTTGTCTCCCTTTCCAGACAACAGGGTTGAGTCCAGAAGAATGCCCTGGAAAACCAAATCATGAAGATCTGAAAAAAATCATCATGGGCTGAGTGGTGGTGGTACACAGCTTTAATCCCAGCACTTGGGAGGCAGAGGCAGGTGGATCTCTGTGAGTTCGAGGCCAGCCTGGGCTGTACATCAAGTTTCAAGGACAGCCAGGGCTACACAGAAAAACCCTGTCTCAAGAAGAAAAGTTCATTGTGGGATGAAAGAGAAACCGAAGAACTCTTCCACAGGTACAGTAAATAAGACGATGGTACATAGATGGGCACTGGGGCCAATTCCTTTCATCCCAGTACTAGCCAGTTCCAGGCCAGCCAGAGCTGCAGAGTGAGGTGCTCTGTCAAACACACACACGCAGAGAGCGAGTCAGAGAGGCAGAAAGAGGCAGAGAGAGAGAGAGAGGGAGAGAGAGAAACAGAGAGAGAGAGAGAGAGAGAGAGAGAGAGAGAGAGAGAGAGAGTATAAACGTAGCCAAGAAAAAGCAATTGAGAAGCAACCCAGTAGGCTTAAATCCTAGACGCTGTCACAGGAATAAAGAGGAGAAAGAACTGTCCTGGATGTAAGAGCCCATCAAGTACCCAGTGCCACTGTGGAAGAAAACAGATCACCTATCAGGACACCAAGCTCAACACAAAGGACTCGGGGAAGCTTCCAGAGAGAAAGAAAACTACCTGCCAGTGCTTAGATGTTCGAATGGTATAGGGCATCTTTAAAGTGACACCCATTCCTAAGAGAAGGGCAGGACTTCAACATTTGAGGCAGAGCTGGTTCCAAATCCAGAATTCCACACCCCAGCTGCTTTGGGGTGAAAGCTAAATAAAAATACAAAGATTCCATTTTTCTCAGTGAAACTTTAAATTTATTTTCTCTTAAAACAGTTAGGCGCAGGCAGTTAGCTCAGTGTGCTCCACAAGTCACACAAGGGCCAAGGCTGGCAGTGCAGCTGTCTTGTAAGGTCTTGGCTGGGTAAGCCTGTATCCCTAGGTGTCAGCATCACTGGGGCTCATCAGAGAGACAGTCTTAGCGCAGACCCCAGGCCAACTGCATCACTGTCTGTGTTGAAAGATCCCCAGGTGACTTATGTGCCCAACAAAATGTGAGAAACACTGCATGCATGGTGAAACCTCGGCTGGGGCTGGTGGAAAAGAGGAAGATGGAGGACGAGACCTGTGTTAGGGGCCTGGCTGGGAAGTGGCTCATAGTTCATCAAAGGGAACTTAGCCACATGTTCTCACCTACCCTTTCCTAAGAGCCACCTCAGGAGAATGATTTAAGAGGGATGTGGGGATTCACAAAGCTAAACTCTCAACCAGGAAGACTGAATAAAGACATTTTGGTCTGTATAGACTGTCAGATTTCCCCAGTGAAGAGGCAGCGAGGACAGCCACGAGCTGAGGTCGAGGTCATTCGTAAGAGGTGACCACGAACCCCAGTTCAATAGAAAGATTCTGAGCTATGTCTTCAAGGAGATGAAAGGGATGAGCATCTTTAGTTTTGAAAGAACTGAAATGTTGACTCTTGGAAAAGAGCATAGGGCCTAATTTATGATGAATTTGGAGAATAAGCAAACTTCAAACGATCATTGTTCAGGGGAAACAAAGTTGTACAAAAAGAGAGAGGGCCACAGAGGCCTCTGTAAACCTTAGCAGAGGCATAATTCAATATCGGACATTGATCTGGCCCTAACTGATACAATACTCGGGAATGGGGTGGGGCAGGATGAAAAGCATTGTATAATGATCAGGAAGGACAAAGATGTGCGCCACCTTCATCTTCTGCCAGATTTGTGCAACATGTGGCCTGCAGCTATACATTCATCTCCCAATGCGGCCTATAAAATCATAAACTTACTTAAACTATTATGAAAATTTTAAAAATTCTTGCCCCTGCCTTCCCTCCTCCTCCCATCATGGAGTTTTTTGTTTTGTTTTGTTTGCAATTTTTATTTTGCAACTCTATCTTGCATTTACAGCATAGTCTACAGCATGAGCTTGCAGATGACAACATTGTGTCATGGTGTCACAGCTGGGCATCTGCTAGATGATGCTGAAAGCAAAAGTCAAGAAGGAGCAAAACGGGTATGTTCAGAGATGGTGGGGTGATTGCCCTCAGAAACATCTTAAGGAGGTGGAGAGAGTTGTTCACTCAAAGGACAAAGAAATCGGGGGCCTACTCTTCTTGTTAAAGCTCTTATAGCTGCTGGGGGGGGGTGGTGCGCACCTTTAACCTCAGAACTTAGGAGGCAGAAGCAGGCAGATCTATGTGAGTTTGAGGCTAACCTAGTCTACATAGTGAGTTCCAGGATAGCTAGGGCTAAATAATGAGACACTAAGTAAAAAACAAACCAAAAAACAAAAACAAAAAACAAAACAAAACCCAAACATGCCTTTAATCCTAGCACTTGGGAGGCAGGGGCAGAGGCAGGCGGATCTCTGTGAGTTCGAGGCCAGCCTGAACTAAGAACAAGTTTCAGAATAGCCAGGGATATACGGGAAAACCCTAGCTCAAAAAACCAAAACAAAAATAGAAAGCAAAACAAAACAAAAATGAAAACAATAAAACACTATTTACTGTTTGGTAGGTGATGGTGGCACACGCCTTTAATCCCAGCACTCAAGAGGCAGTGTCAGGTGGATCTCTATGAGTTAGAGGCCAGCCTGGTCTACAAGAGCTAGCTAGTTCCAGGACAGCTTTAGCTGTTACACATTGAAACCCTGTCTTGAAAAAAACAAAACAAAACAAAAAAAAACAAAAAAAGAAAAACCAAACCCAATCAACCAAGCAAGCAAACAAAAACCCAACAACAAAACACAACAAAAACAAACCCAAACACACCCACAACCACCCACATTAAAGAATATTCCAGCACCATATGGCTCTGTTTTGTGTGTATATGTGCTGTGGATAAACTCAGGATCTTGTATGTGCTAGACAAACACTATCCGTAAAGTAGACCTCCAGCCCTTATCTGTTGTCTTAAGAGGTCTGTACTTACTACTTTGAAAATAAAAAGTAAATTTTAAAAATTAATCAAGCTTGATTCTAAATCCAAGCATTTGGAAGGCAAAGGTAGGAGGAAGGTGAGTTCAAGGCTAGCCTCATCTACTTGTCTCAAAAAATCAAACCAAGGGACTGAGAGATGACTCAGCAGTTAACACTTACTGCTCTTCCAGAGGACCCAGGTTCGATTCCTAGCACTCGCATAGTGGCTCACAACCAACCATAACTCCAGTCCCAAGAAATCTAACACCTTCTTCTCACCTTCATCTACACCGCGTGCATGTGTACATGCATACATGCAAGCAAACCACCCATACACATAAAATAAAAATAAAGGTTAAAAATAAAACAACAACAACAAAAATCACACCAAACTAAAAATAGAGAAAACTGAGAGAGGAAATCGAGATATCCTTTTCTGTGAATGAGACTTGGGAGTGGAGGAGTTTTTCTTTTCTTCTTTCCCCCCTCCTTGCTTTCTTCCCTAAGTTCTCTCTCTGCACTCATCTTCCTGTTCCTTCAGTGGAAGGGACTGACCTGTGTTTATTTACCTTAGAGGAGGAGCCAGTAGAGACAGAGGTTGAAAAGAAGGGGGTGGTTTGATGAATCAAGATCCAGGAGGAGACAAGAGGGAGATGTGAGCAGAGATGGAGGTGGGATGTTGAGCTCATTCATGCTTTTTCTTTGCTTCCCTCCCTCCCTCTCTCCCTCCTTCCCTGCCTTCCATCTTCCTCCTTTCTTCTCTCCCCTCCCCCCTCCTTTCTCTCTCCCTCTCTCCTAGTCTGGAAAAAGGGAAGAAGTTACTGAACATGAGGCAGGTGTAAAATTAGTGGTATGGGAGCAGGGGAGGAGGGAGCAGGGGAGGAGGTAGTGGGGAGCAGGGGAGGAGGGGAGGAGGTAGTGGGGTAGATATTTAATGCCCAGCCTAGGTTAGAGACTTTTTGTTTTGTTTTGTTTTGCTTTGCTTTGCTTTTTTCAAGACAGAATTTCTCTGTAGATTTGGAGCCTGTCCTGGAGCTTGCTCTGTAGACCAGGCTGACCTCGAACTCACAGAGATCCACCTGCCTCTGCCTCCCGAGCTGAGACTATTAAATATTTAGTGGTCCTAGATCTCTACTCAGGGCTTAGCACAGCATCAGAACCTATGTGTCCAAATATATCTGTTGAATGAACAAGTGTGGTCATGTGACTCCTGCCCTTGGCAGTATACACCAGCCAATCACTGCCCCTGCTGTTAGACCAAAGAGTGGGGGTGGGTGATGGATCTGGGGGTGAGGGTTGAATTGTGAAAGGAGAAAAAACCGAGTGAGCCGATGAGATAGTGGTTGATAAGATCTTGGTGTGTGCCCTGGAAAGAACCTGAAGTGTCAAGTCATGAGTAAACAGAAGGGCAGAGGCTTTGTGACAGAAGCCAGTTAGAAAATGACTACAGACGTGTACCTCAAAATAAAAGTGTACGCATTACTAATAATATCAGAAGGAAGTGTTCTGCCAAAGTCTCAGCACTCAGAAGCCTGCGGCTCAAGAGTTCAAGTCAGTCTGGGCTACAGAGTGGAGATCTTGCCTCAAAAGAGACAGCAGAAATGTTTTGGAACTAGACACAGGTGAGAGCTGTACAACACTGGAGTATCAAATGATGTCACACACTGTGTGTTCTAAAATAAAAAGGGAACGAGCTACAAATGCAGAGGACGCAGCCAGGCGGTGGTGGCACACACCTTCAGTCCCAACACTGGGAAGCAGAGGCAGGTGGATCCCTGTGAGTTCGAGGCTAGTCGGGTTCCAGGACAGCCAGGACTGTTCCAAAGAGAAACCCTGTCTTGGAATGAAAGACTCCCGTGGGCGTCTTCCCTCGGGAGAGGCCCCATGCCCCAAAGATCAGTCGAAAACACGCAGCCGGATGCAAGCAGCAAGAGGTTTATTGGGGATACACGGATACCCGGGGCGACCAAGTCTCTCGGAGGACTTGCGCGCCCGCAGGTTGGGGGTGAGGGGTTTTTATAGGAGAGCAAAAAGCGAGGTTTACAGAAGCAAGATGCAGGGTGGTAAATTTTTAACCTAGATAACAATGAGAGGTCTACTCAGCGGTTTATTGTTCCTCTCATCCTGCCTCCCCCTTTCCTGGCTGGCGACCAGATGTCTGATTGCACAGCCCCTGACTCGTGAGAGCCCCGCTTTATACGTGACTCAGGCCTCGCAACCCTCTCTCTCTTTGTTTCTATGACCAATTCATAAATCTCCTGTCTTGCAGCCAGATAAGGCTGTCCTCAGGTATCTTTGCTCAGCATTCCGGAGGCCCTGAGCCTGTTATTTGCTCAGCATTCCGGGGATCCTTAATTAAGCTTGCTATCTGAAAACCTTTGCAGAACGACATAACTGTGGTTAAAACGAGGGGTCCTTCAGGAAAAACAAACAAACAACAACAAAAACCGGGAAAAATACCACACACTACCGTGTTCATTTCTTCCTTCTCTCCTCAGCCCGCCTTCCTTTCTTGTGCTTTGGACATGCTGGCCACATACTCTGCCAAGGAGCTCAGGAACCCAGCCTCCTGCCTGTTTTCTCTCAGGCTGGGGACTGAACCCAGGATATACTAGGTCTGGGCAGGGCTCTCTCGCCAAGCTGTCCTCCAGCCTTTATCCCTGTACACATTATTGTTCATTTGTTTGCCTGTGCTTTGTTCATTTGCTATTTCTTTGAGACGAGATCTCCCTCTGTGGCTCTAGCTGGCCTTGAACTCAGAGATTTGCCTGCTTCTGTAGAGACCACCCACACCCAACAGGTCTTTGTTTTGCAGATAGGGTCTCACAGTGTATTTCTGGCTGTCCTGGAACTCTCAGCATAGATTAGCCTAGTCCCAAATTTGAGGCAGTTCTTCTGCCTTTAATCCCCAAGAATGGGGATTACAGGTGTGTGTCACCATGCCCAGAGTATGTTTATTGTGCGCAATAATGGGTTTCATTACACCATTCATGCACATATATGATGCGTTTTGACAATATCCACTGCCTTATTACCCTCTCTTAGCCCCTTTGCCCCATGGGCCCCTTCTTACCTATCACCCCTTTTCTAGGCTACCTTTCCACACACGGGAGAAGACATGCAGTGCTCATCTGAGACTCGATTGGTTTACATGGCATGATTGTGCTGTATTCTTTAAAAATCTGTATTATATGAGTGTGTGTGCATGTGCCATGGTTCATGTGTGGAGGTCAGAGGACAATTTGCCATGTATGCTGTGGGTATTGAACTGGGTCCTGGGTCCTGAAGATTGATAATGAACATTTTTTTTCCTGGTTTTTTTGAGACAGGGTTTCTCTGTATAACAGTCCTGGCTATCCTGGAACTCGCTCTTATAGACCAGACCTCGAACTCACTGAGATCTGCCTGCCTCTGCCTCCTGAGTAATAAGCATGCGTAATAAGCACCTTTAGCCACTGCACCGTTTCTCCAGCTCAATTTGCTATACCCTTAAAAGCTTTTCATCTACTCAAGGAGTCTGCAGATGGATGTAGCTCACTTGCCTAGCACGCTCAAGTGCCTATGTTTGAGACCAGCATTGCCCCACTTACCCAGTCCCCTAAAAGAAATAAAAGACCATCAGCTCAGAAAGTTGGGTTTAGCTTCAGTCATAATAAAAAAATGTTTAACTTGAGATTGGTAATACTTGGGGCAGGTGAGGTGACTCAGAGGTCCAAAGCAATGACTGCTCTTTCAGAAAACCCAGGTTTGATTCTCATCTACCTGGCAGCTCATAGCTGCCTGTAACTCTGGTCCCAGGGGATCTGACACCCTCCCCATGAGTACCACACATATGCGATTCCAGACCTAGAGGATCTGACACCCTCACCTGAGTACCACACATATGTGATTCCAGACCTAGGGGATCTCACACCCTCCCCATGAGTACCGCACATACGTGACTCTAGTCCCAGGGGATCTCACACCCTCACATTGAATACTGCACATGTGATTCCAGTCCCAGGGGATCTCATACCCTCACATTGAGTACCGCACATGTGATTCCAGTCCCAGGGGATCTGACACCCTCACCATGAGTACTGCACATATGTGACTCCAGTCCCAGGGGATCTAACACCCTCACCATGAGAACCACACATATGTGATACAAAGATATACATGCAAGCAGAACACTCATACACATTAAAGGGAAAAAAAAAAGCTGGGCATGGTGGCATTTGCTTTTTATCCTAGCACTCA